TGAGGCAATAATAAATTCGCGCCCATTGACGCCGCTGTCAGCTGATCTCAATGATTACACAGCTTTAACCCCAGCGCATTTTCTTATTGGTCGTCCAATAACCACAACAGGCGAAAAACAATTCACAAGCATCCCGATAAATCGACTTACACGCTATCAGCTGACACAACAGCTATCACAACATATGTGGGAACGCTGGAACAAAGAGTATATTTCCGAGTTACAGAAAAGAACCAAATGGGTATCTACTAAAGGAGATAAGGTTGACGAAGGCCACCTAGTTTTAATCAAAGAGGACAATTTGCCACCCATGAGGTGGAAACTTGGTCGCATCATTGAAGTGATTTGTGGTCGCGATGGTGTAGCACGTGTTTTTAAAATTAAAACTTCTAGTGGTGTCGTAACACGATCTTTTTCTAAAATATGTCCGTTGCCCTTAAACGACGACGTAGAGAATAGTTAAAAGCAGTGAACAAACTAAATATATTGAACTCATGTAGACATAATATAAGTTAGTATTAGGTAGTTAGGCTTAAAATTTATATGTTCGATTATAGCATGTTTAAAATTAAAAGGCAGTCATTTTTACAAATTATATTTTACTTATACTTATATATTTACCGAATTTATAATGCACCAATTGAGATATTCTGCTACTTCATTTGCATTGTCATAATATGATATTATTAGATATTATCTATATGTAAAGGGTATTGCCATATCAATGTATTTTTCTTTGTTTTTTGTTTGTTTTTTTTTGGCAATACTTGCCAAGGCCGGGGGCATGTTTACGCTTGGCTCATATATTATAAATTATCTGTTTAACAAGTGCATAATATTTACAAGTAAAAGCAATTACCAAGAAAAGGGAGAATCAATTCTGCTATGACATCTGGAAGATATTAGCCATCAAGTGGCTGCAACGCCCTCCCCTTTTTGGGATTTTATACCTAGATTTTAGTATTTTAACATTAAGATTTTAAACTTAGTCATATACACAACCATGTTAAAATAAAGTTTTGTTTTTTGTTAAACCATCTTTTAATCGCGCAACATACTCAACATACTCAACGCAACGAACAAATAATTAAAAATTAAAGTAAGGTCAACTAATTAAAATTTATCAGTTAAATAATTGCAAACACATGCATATATAAACTCAAACGAATTATTCTTAATTCACAGTATACAATTCAATATGTCTCATACATATATATACACCTCCTATGAATCCAAGGAGGTATTTTGAAGAAAAGTAAGTTATTTATTATTATTTTTTTTATTATTATTAGTATTATTTTTTTTTTAAATTTTTTTTTATTTTTTTTTTTTAATTATTAATATTTTATTTTAGTGATTTAAAACCACCGCAGCCAGCATTAATGACAATAGAAGAGTAAGTTATATTTATATATGATTGTTTTTATAATATAAATTAATTTTTATAGATTTCTTCAACAACATGGAGAAATAATTGTATTAGATGATCAAAATGCAGAGGAGGCAATGTATATCAATTATCTAAATATTAAAAATTTTATTATTATTATTATTATTTTTTGTACAATTTTAACCATGGAGAACGACTATGAACCTCAACCTTTAGTTTTACCAACTTTTGAAGAGTTGGTAGATTTAGAGCTTACGGAAAGGTTCAAGACTGAGGCAATGTAATACTACAATTATCTAATTATTTAAATTTTTATTTATTTATTTATTTATTTTTAGTGATTCAACTATCGACGACGTCGATGAGGTACCATCACCTAGTCCTCCTCAAGCATTTGTTATACTACCACTTGATAATGAAGAGGAACAGGAAGGGACAATGTAATACATCAATTATCTAAGAATTTTAAATTTTATTTATTAATGTTTTTTTTCCTAGAGATCTAACATGCTATTCACCAATGCCTGAATTTACTCCTCCTCCTCCTGTTGATTATTGTTCACCAAATCCTTCACCTTAATTTAATTTTGTGTTATCACAAAAGGAGGGGGTGAGAGATTTATTTGATGACAAAGTAGTGGAAATCAATCTACAGGAACAATGTAGGAGGAACTATCATGGTGGTAGTTTAACTATTATTATAAAGATATAGGGGTTAAATAAAGATTTTTTTTTTTATTTTTTTTTATTCTATTAAAAATTTGAAACATAAATGACCGCAATTAACAGTATTAAAAGTTTGATATCTATTGTAATTATAAAAAACGTTCACATAACCATTAGATTAAAGTATCTTACAACTTCCAAGGGAGCATGAAAATTTCCAAAACTATCAAAGTAAACAACTTTTGTACCGGCTTTTTTATATGCAGTCCAGTGAGTTCCAGGACCATTTGTTGAATCCAAATTTATCATTTTTCTAATTTATTTTCCGTGGTAATCCATCACGCATAAAAACACCACGAAAATTTGGAATCTTGCATAATTTGGCATAGGTTATTAAATCAATATTGGTTAGTGGTCGATTTGGAAGTTGATTAAGAAGCATTAGCGGTAGGCCTGATTGCTTTGATACGGGCGTAAAAAAATACCTAATCCAGTCTTGTTTTATGGTTTTCGATAGAGTCCTTTTCCCATTGCTATTGCCTCCATTGTTTGATTGTGACGATTTGATTCATAAAGTTGTTTTTTAGCTGACCGAGCATCACCAATAGCCTTTGCTATTCCTGCGCACCAACTTTTGGAATTTTAATAACACGATCAACATTGGGTTTTTTATTTGATTTTTAATCTGTTTTGCTGTATTCAATGCTACATGTATAGCTTCACCCAAATTTTTAGCTTTGCTTTGTAAAATACGTTTTTTAATTTTTCCAACAGCTGTTTGAAATCCAATTTTACTACTACATTTACGCTTTGAGGTTGGTTTTCGTTGTTGTTGTTGTCTCTTTTTACTCTTCCTTTTAACTTTTTTATTAGACATATTTACAGCATGAATACTAACACTTGACTGGGTGTTTTTTTAGTAAATTCTTTGTTTTTTAGTTGAAAATTCATCACTGCTGACTTCCTCAACCTCAAGCTCCTCCTCATCCTTCCTACTACGTTTTCTAGGGTTGGTTGAAGGATAAATAAGCGGTTCATTTAGATCAATCTTGGGTTTTTTAATTTCACTCAAATTATTATTACTACTATGAACCCCAACTTCTGATGCTTTTCATTTTCGTTGTTGTTTTTGTCCTCTTTTCACAATGACTTTACGAGTACGATTACGGTGACGGTGCATTTCTGGAATATTTAGTTTGTTTTCCCGTTTATCCAAATCATCATCTTCATCGATAACCACTAGGGGCGGAGTTTTAGCTTTTTTTATTTTTATTTTTTTATTCGTATTTCTGCAGATTTGATTATTTGATGACAACATATTTTTCCACTTCACTTACAACCTTTTCAAACGTTTTATTTTTGTCAATTGGTTAACACATTTTTTTATTTTTGTTTTATCCATTTTTATTCCCATACCAAGTTTCAATTTTGTTTTCATAGCTCCTGCCACAGATAAAGAGGCAAGTCTTTCACCAAACGATGCGTCTTTAGATCTAAATCGACTCATTGATTCATCGGCTAATATTCTATCACCCTCGTGACGCAACTTTAAATCTTTGTTTAACAAATATTGAATATCGTGTTTTTGACAACTAGCATCCTAGCATTAACACCTTTATCTCCACGAGTTAATCGTTCTTGTAATTTTGTTCCAGCACCTCAGTAGTTGTAACCAGGTAGGTGTAACACAAAGGGTAATTTACTTATAGCACTATTTAATAATCCATATCCAATATAATATTTCATATTTTAGCAAAACACACAAACGTCTGGCTACACTCCAACTAACATCAAATACACCAATCACTTGTATTTATGTTATGTGATACATTAGCGGAGGTGCTTGTGTGTGTGTGTGGGTGTGTGTGTGTGTGTGTGTGTGTGTGTGTGTGTAATGAGAAAAATGAAAATTGTTAAACAAAAAACTTGTTTAAACGTTGAAAACAATGATGATGGTAAGGACTTTCGAAAAAATGAAAAACATGGTAAACTATTTCCATCCACTATTCGATGTCTGGTTGTTGGTCCTTCAAACTGTGGAAAAACTAACGTAATGATTTTCCTCATTGAACATGAGAATGGATTAAAATTTGAAGATGTGTACGTTTATTCACGATCACTCTGTCAACCTAAATACACCTATCTGGCTGAGCTATTACGACCAATAAAGGGAATCAATTATTATGGGTTTAATGTTAGTGAGAGTATCGCTCACCCGTCTGAAGCCAAGCCCAACTCTATTTTTATTTTTGATGATGTAGCCTGTGATAACCAGGAGGTTATTCGTGAATATTTCAGTATGGGTCGCCATAACCATATCGACTCGTTTTATTTATGTCAAACCTACGCTAAAATTCCCAAACATTTTTATCTATTTAAACAAGATGATTTAAATTTAAAACATGTCTATAACGATCCTGTTGGAAGTGATATGTCGTTTGACAACTTCAAAAATATTTGTTCATACTGTTGGAAACGTCCAAAAAACATTAAAGAGAAATTCAAACTACTAAAACAAGGAGAAAATGTCCAAGAAAAAATATTTTTTCCAATTACAAAACAATTGAAAAGTACACAACACAACTAAAATTCCAACGAAGGTATCTCCTACATCATCACCCTTATTAACATATAAAACAAGAAGTCGACAACATGTCTATGATACCATATAATTATTCAACACCAACCAATCCTGCGAAAATTAAAAAAAGAAGAGCTGAGGTTACATCATCTCCATCGTTTATGTCATCAATATTTATGAATAACAAAGAAGGTGATGTTAGTTCATTAAAACGTTTCATATTAGATGAAATTAATGATGAAGAAGATGATGATGAAAAACAAAGAACCTTTGAAAAATTGAAAATAGAAGAAAGAGAACAAAAGTTTTATTGATTATCTTGATCAATATGATGAGACATTACCAAGAAAATATGTGAATGAAATGTATGAAGATAATGAAAATCAGTTTGATCATAAATATGGGGTACGATTTAAACCTGCACTAGAAAAATTTTACATTGTAGATTCTCAATTAATAATAGATGGTTCAGATATTGTGGTTAAAAATAAAAAATACAAAGGAACTCGTGGACTGTATGAATTACTCTTTAAAAAGGAACCGAAAGAATTTACAGAAGAGGATGAAAAAGTATATAGACAGATTGTGTTAAAAACAAACGCACACCGTCGATTTTATAAGGCCAATCAGAACATTGTAGAAGATAATTAAAAAAAATATCAAAACATTTTGGCTCCACTTACCAAAGGAAAGGGGATATTTTTAAAAGCAACCAACAATAAAATCGATTATGTTTATTTTGATGATCCAAACGATTGGTTGAGGGACTGCGTCCGATAAGGAAATAGTGTCAATTGTTGAAGAACTGAGAGAGCTTAAAGTTATAGCATAAATATAAAACGAAAACAACAACAAAAGAACAACAAATTTATCACTGATGTTAAGAGATATGTAGTTGAAGAACTTCATAAACCGGCTAAAATTAATTTTAAAAGACGTAGAGTCATCATAAAATCATTTAAGGATCTATTTCAAGCAGACCTAGTGGAAATAAATAATGGATACAAGTATATTTTGGTTGTTATAAATTGTTTTTCTAAATATGTATGGGCATATCCATTAAAAAAGTTCCACAAAATATTCAAACCGATTTGGGAAAAGAATTTTACAACGAAGAATTTAAAAAACTCATTCAAAAATATAAAGTCAATCATTACAGTACGTATAGCGAGAAAAAGGCGTCCATTGTTGAACGAGTTAATAGAACTTTAAAAAATCTAATGTGAAAAGAGTTTAACGTTCAAGGAAACTACAAATGGGTCAACTTGTTATCACAAATTGTATTCAAATATAATAATACTAAACATAGAACCATTCATATGAAATCGACAGATGTGAGTGAGAAAAATGCAAACGACATTTTAAAAACAGCCTATAGTCATATTAAAATGAGTGAATCGGATGTAAAATTTCATGTTGGTGATCATGTGCGCATTTCAAAAATTAGAGGAGTCTTTGATAAACAATACATGCCAAATTGGTCAACAGAAATTTTTGTAATAAAAAGAGTGCAGTACACCAATCCAGCTACCTATTTGCTTCAAGATACAAACGGCGAAAACGTATTGGGTGGTTTCTACAAAGAACAATTACAAAAAGTTAAATACCCTCATGTTTATCTGGTGGAAAAAGTGTTAAAAAGACAAAAAATTAAGTTTTTGTTAAATGGTTAGGATTTAGTGATAAGCATAACAGTTGGATAGATAAGAAAAATGTCATTTAAATTGTATTTGTATTTTAATAATTATTTAAATAACAATATGTAAAATAATTTTTAAATAAAAAATTTAATATAAATTGTGTGTATATTTTTCTAACCAACTATACCCAAGGCTAGGCTAGGCTAGGCTAGCGTACACTTTTTTTTATAAAATTTTAGTTACTACCAACAAAAATCTAGTTAGACAGTTGTACCAACTTAAAGATCTAAGAGATAAACAAGGACCTCTAAAGGTCCTTATCTTTCAGGAAAATTTCTCTGAAAAAGACCTTCTGGTTATTGTCGTCGTCAGCAGACAAAGACATCCTGAAATCCTGAAATGTCCCTGAAAAGGACCTTCTGGTCATTGTCTGCATCTGCTGAAGACATCCTGAAATCCTGAAATGACCTTGAAAAAACCAGAAGGTCCATGTCTTCGGCGCTAAAGACATCCTGAAAATCCTGAAATTCAGCCGAAGACATCCTGAAAAACACTTCTTCGGCACTGAAATCCTGAAAGGTAACACATGCCATCGACTTTGGCGCTAAAACCCGCTCTCTTAACTACTATTATTATAATTATAATATAATTAATCAATCTTTTGCAAGAACAAACACTTGAATAAAATTTCCACCAACTTCAACAAAATTTCTTTGTTCTTTTCAGAGGCTTTAAGCCGTAATTTTCGTTATTTATACTTTCTAATGCAAATTTAGATACTTGTAACAAAACACATTGCAAACTGCGAACATAACCCAATTGTGTTTGTTTTATATTGCGGCTCTTCTTCAAACCAATATTTTGTCAATAATAAGGTTTATTCAAATAAAAATGTATTTATGTAAAACACATATTTAAGTATACTTATATAAACTCCTGGACAAAATTAACGCAACATCATAAATTTGTCACATTTTTTATGCTATTTATTTTTTTAATTCAGGGTCCGATTTGAATGATTTTTTTTTGCATTGTAGGTTGGTGCCTTGACAATGTTATAATTTTCGCTGTTTATAATAAAAAGTTCATTTTCGATTTATACCGGGTGTAAAATGTAATGTTTTTTTCCGAAAATTCGTATCACCCTGTGAAGTATACTAGCAACCGAAACCTATAGCAGTTAAAATTAGACGGTAGGTCCATATTTCGTCAACATATTCTTTTTTGGTTTACTTCATTATCTCTGTTATTAAAGGAGATACGCTGTTTTATAGCGTAACATGTTTTTATAGACTTTATTATTCAAAACATTAATTGTTAAATGTTTTCAAGTAGGCAATGGAAAATTCGCCATACTTATAAGAACTGTTCGAAAACTGCTTATTAAACGTTCGTTTCGTATTTTAATCTAGAAAAATTAATCGTCTAAAAAAATTTTCGACAGAAGAAGCAGTAAGAGACTTAACTTTGGTGGATGAGGGCTATTCGATGTCATGTTGCTAATGTGATAGGAAGACATCGTTCGACTATAAGTCTTAAGGTTAAACGATTTAGCGAGACAGGATCTTACTCTTCAAGGTCAGTACAAGGGCGAAAACGATGTACCGATCCAAGGGATGAGTGTTTTATTAGGCAAACTTCTCTAGAAACAGGAAGATTACTAGTACTAGGCTAAAAAGTGAGCTTAAAACTGCTCGCCATAATACAATATCGTCTCGAACAATTATGAGCTTAGAACTGCTCGCCATAATACAATATCGTCTCGAACAATCATAATTGTGATCCTGCAGGAGACGTTTGAATGAGGCAGAAGACCGGCAAAGAAACGATTACTTACCAGAGAGCACAGAGTTTCAAGATTGCGTTTTGCCAGAAATTATCAACATTGGACTGTTAAAGAAGGTTTAATTTTCTGATGAAACGAGAGTTAGTCTCAATTCTCCTGATGGTGTGAACGTGTTTGGCGAAGGTCAGGGGATAGATTTGCTAGTGGCAATATCTCTCCTAAAATCCCGTTTGGTGAAGGCTCTGTAATGTTTTGGGGAGGAATATGCTTCAACTGACGCACAGAGTTAGTCCCTATACGTGTAAGATCAATGAACGCCGATTATTATCTAGAAAACATTGTAATTGAACATATAATGCCATTTGTTCTTTTTTTGGGACCGAATAGTTTATTTATGCAGGATTATGCATTTATCAAAGCGAGCAGAAATTATACAGATAACAAGTAATCTAAACATCTCTTGAAATGTCAGAAAAGGTCCATAGCCTACTTGAAAACATTTAACAATGATTGTTTTGAATAATAAAGTCTATAAAAACATGTTACGGTATAAAACGGCGTATCTCCTTTAATAACAGAGATAATGAAGTAAACCAAAAAAGAAAATGTTGGCGAAAGATGAACCTACCGTCTAATGTCAACTGCTATATGTTTTGGTTGCTAATATACTCTACAGGGTGATACGAATTTTCGGAAAAAAACATTACTTTTTTATTACACCCTGTATAAATCGAAAATGAACTTTTTATCATAAACAGCGAATATTATGACATTGTCAAGGAACCAACCTACAATGCAAAAAAAAATCATTCAAATCAGATCATAAATTCAACAAAAAAATAGCATAAAAAATGTGGCAAATTTTTTGATGTTGCGTTAATTTTGTCCAGGAGTTTATATACCGTACCTTCATTTGCAAGCTAACCATAGGGAAAATACATTGTAACTGGACCAGATAAGTCTTAGTCAGCACAAAGCGAAAAACGTTGTAGAAATGATTTGGACGTGTGGACGAGTAGGCTAGCATGCGCCGTAACAGTTGACCTTGCTTCATACATCGATGCTTTATTATTGTTTTGTATTTTGTGCGGTGTAAGTCTGGTAAAGAATTAAAAATAAAATAGATTTTTAAAATGAATCACTATACTGTAGAGGAAAAGTTTGATATGATTTATTGGGTAATTCGGGGAAATTCTTTTAGGGAAACTAGAGATCTTTCCTCTGTGAAAATTCGGATCGCCCAATTCCTTGTACCAACTATTTCCTCTACTTATGACAATTAAAAATCAAAAGGCTGCCTTTTACCATGTAAATGCCATAATGTTCCCAGGATTAATGACAACGCTGAATTGCAGGAAATAATGGTTTGTGCAATGGTACAACAAGATTCCACCGTTTCGGTTGCCAAACTTTCTAAAGACACCGGAGTTAGTGTGGACAAAGTTCATAAAATATTTAAAAAAAAAAATTTAATCCTACAAATACCAGGTTCATCAGGAAGTTTATGATAATGACAAGTACCGCAGAATGGAATTCTGTGAAACCGTGATAGAAATGGCAAACGAGGATCCGAACTTTACAAAAAATATTGTTTTTACGGATGAATCCACATTTCCACTTCATGGAAAATACAATCCGTCCATTCTGCGTTACTGGGCCATTGAAAATGAGTACCGGCAGTTAAACTTGCGTACTCAGTACTCAGAAAAACTGAATGTTTGGGCTGGTATTTTTGGCGATAACATTGTAGGACCATTTATTATTAATGAAAATTTAAATGGTGAATCTTACTTGCACTTATTGCAGAACCAAATTATTCCTGCATTGCGTGTCATTAATCCAAACCTAGACAATATATGGTTTCATCAGGATGGATGTCCAGCCCATAATAGTCTACGACTTGTAAAATATCTACAACAAATATTCCCTAACAAAATTTTTTCAACACCGGGCACAATTCGGTGGCCCCGAATGACTTTTTTGTCGGGCTATATTAAGTCTATGATTTATGGATATGAGCATTAGGGTGGGTCATTTTTAAATTTTTTAAGGGGCACAGTAAAAAAAGGTGCAAAATGGTATTGTTATTCCACACATATTTTCATTTTGGGGTTTGGTTAAGTTTAACTGCCTCCGGATTTTGA